CACTATTTGACCTTTTGTGACTGGCTTTTTTCACTTAACATAATGTTTTCAAGGTTCATCCATATTGTATATGTATCAGTATTTGCTTTCTTTTTAAGGCTAAATAATATTCCATTGTATGGTTTTACCACATTGTTTATCCATTCATCCATTAGTGGACCCTTGGTTTGCTTCTACCCTTGGGCTATTGTGAGTCATGCTGCTATGGACACAGATATATACACATGTCTTAAAGACCCTGATTTCAATTCTTTTGGGTATGTATTCAAGAGTAAGCCTGGCTCGGTGCCCATAGCGCAGTGGTTATGCACCAGCCACATGCACCAAGAGTGGCAAGTTCAAACCCAGCCCCGGCCAGCTAAACAACAAAGACAACTGCAACAAAAAAATAGCCAGATGTTGTGATGGGCGCCTATAGTCCAGGTACTTGGGAGGCTGAAGCAAGAGAATCGCTTAGGCCCAGGAGTCTGAGGTTGTTGTGAGCTGTGATGCCACGTACTCTACCAAGGGCGACATAGTGAGACTCTGTCTCCAAAAAAAAAAAAAAAAAAGTGAGTTATTTTGAGAGAAGCAGCAAGTTCTCCCAGAGGTTCTCTTTATGCATAATTTTCTTGAAAATGTACTGTGAATATTTGGTGGCCACTCAAAAAGACACTGGTCATGTCAAAACAAAAGATTTTCCACTGGAAGCTGACCTGTGTCTGCAGTGAGGCCCACTAGGCATCTAGAGTTAAGAGGCAAAGATGTTGCTAGGTGTATGTGTTTGTATCTATCTGGATATACATTTTCAGTTTACTTCAATAGCAAACAAAGGTCTAGAGCAGATTTTGAAAAGAAATAGCTGCAGAGACAGGAATGGTTTCTAAGACAGCCCTACAATCACATCGATATTATAACAATCTGCTTCTGAGCTTAAAATGGCTCTCTCATCTTATCTTCTGGTGTGTACTCATTATTTCATAAGGGATTGATTTGTAACTTTGTGGATCTCACAGGCTGCACCTTGCAAGGGGCATGATGTCAGTCTCAGTTTCTGTAATGCTTCCATTTGAGACTTCTGGTCTACTTGTTTTCTACACAGTGTGTTTCTGTATAATAAAATGCCTTTTACCTAGGATTCACAGAGCATGCATTCCCCGGGCTTACCCTCCCAGAGGCTAAGACTCTTAGACATCATTGATAGTGTGGGGGAGGAGAGGCTGCCTATGAAAGGGAAAGGGTGCCTTGGAAAGCCAGGGTTCTAATTCCTCTGCCGGTTTGTATGACAAAGAGGGCAAATATCTTCTGTGAAGGCTCAGCACTTTCAGGCTGAATTGAGGCCATTCCAACCCAAATTCACGACCCCTGGCAGTGGAAAACACCCAGCCTTGCTGAGGAACAAAGAGTAAACGTCTGCTGCACCGGGCTGCACTTGAGGACTCAGAAACGTTTCTGTTTATTCCAATCTTTTGTTACATGGGCTGGCTGGTCCCTACAGCGTTCCACGACTGCAGAAGGACAGGGCCTCGGAGGCTTCCACCAAGGCAGATCAGAGAGCACTGAACAGCTCTACCCGGCGTTGCCTGCAGAGGAACGAAGGCCTGCAAAGAAAGAGGGAGGGCAGTGGGAGGTAAATCAGGGGAGCAACAAAGCTGAGAAAGCTCAAATCTTGGTGGGTCCCTGGAGCCTCCCTCCACCGAGCTCTCCACACTCTTAACAATACGGAGCTGCGACCCCTTCCTAGCCCCAATTCTCTGGGCATTTGGCTTCTTTATGTAATTGTTAGGATTGATAACCTTCCAATATTTCTAACTGGAGAACACTGAGGAGAGTAAAAGGAGGGGGGAATAATGATGGATTTGTAGGCTTTCTTTCAATTCTCCTTCGTTCATTGGCTAAGTGTCGGTCGCCTAGGAAACCGCGTGCATCTGGCTGCAGAGTAGGTTGTCAGGTTGTGGGGCCTGCGGGCTGGGTTTTAAGTGGTGAATGCAGGCAAGTGGGGAAGGGGTGGGGGGGATGGGAAGGGATCCTCAGGCTAAACATCTAGTTAAATTTCAATAAATACGTTGAAATATATTTTGCATTAGTAAAACAATGCTTTTAGAATTTACTCCCAATTCATCTAGGAAAAGCCTCCTTTCTATCAGATTTCTTTAATTAAAACAATGACTCTCTGTGTGTAATAGATAAATGCAAAATCACTTAAGGATTTTCCATTGAAAATAATCTGCAAATCGTGAGAGCAAATATAATTTTAGTACTTTGGGGTATATCTTGCTCACCTCAGCCACACGATCAATTACGCAAAAAAAAAAAAAAAAAAAGTATTTTACTTTACCTAGGGATATTTCTACGTCTGTTTCTGGATGGGATAATTTTAAAATGTTGTGTATCATTAAAAACCAATGTTTAAACCAATGCATGAAAGGAGATCATGAAATACGTTGTCCTGAAATCTTCATGTTTGATATACAATGACCTAGATTGAAAGGAACTGTGTATAATTAACAAACAAAAAGAAATGCTGGGGACCCAACTGAAAGCTATTCTTTTTTATTTGAAATCGGGGAACCAGCCTCTTCCTGGGAGCTATATGGAATAAAGGTTTTTTAAGTATTATCAGGCAAATAAAAATGGGCAGCATCATAATTCCAATTGAGGTGGGGTTAGGGTGTGGAATGGTTAACATGAATGCCTGCTCAGAAGAGGCAAGGGTGTGAAGGATAATTCGAACAAAAAGCGTGAAAGGAAAGAAGATTTGGGGTCGAAAGAGCTGGGTCCCCCAGGCTGTCAAGTTTTTTTAGAGGGATAATTTCCAGTCTCAGCCTATCCGAAACGTCCTCCCGTAAAAGAAACCCGAGAGGAACGGGTTCTTTGATCTATCTGATCTGAACGCACGTTTTCACCCAGGCACTCGGCGGAGATCTGGCTTGGAAACAGAGGCTGAGAAACCGTTAAGAGAGGCAGGCAGGAGGCAGGCTCAAATTTCCCAGCGCAGAGTTGAGCCCCAGAAGCGCTGCGCGTCGGGGTTGCTCTCTGAAGCTCGCAGCAGGGCGCTGACCTCTCCGAGTGCGCCTACATTCTCAGAGCGGGTGTCGCCCCCGCTCAGTTCCTTCCAGCGCGGCTCGGGGTCCCGCCGGAGCCACCACCTCCAGGCTCACACTTGCTACAGCCCTTTCGCTGGGCCGTGGTCACCTTCCCGGAGGGCTAGGGCACCTGGAAGACGCGGTTGCAGTCTGAGCCCTGTCTTTAACTTGCCGCGTGACCTTGGGAATTGTTCGCCTTCGATGTTTCTGCATTTGTAGTATCTGGATTAGAAACTCCGGGGTCAGGCCCACCCCGCGAGCGGGGCATAGGGACAGACCCTCCGCTGCTCTGTCTATTGCTCGATTCAACCCTAATCCGGGCACCTGCAGCCGCGCCTGGGAAACTCTGGCCCTGGTGATCCAGTCTGATCGCCCAGCAAGTGGGGGCGGCTGGGCTTTTGTTCTTGTTTCTTTTCTTTGTACATTGAAATTGAGTTGAAATTCTCCTCCCATCCCACAGCGGGAAAGGGAGACGGTGACAGCTTGCTGATAGTTCTGGGAGAGTCTCACTCAACAGCTGCAGGCACCCCTCTGCAGCGGGAACCCGGGTCATTCTGCCCCTCTTGCCAGGGAACTAAAGGGGTCATTTCACCTAGCAAACCATTCGTCTCGGTTAGGGGGCGGTGTGCTTCAACTATCGAATTGCGGAGAACAGGTTGTGCAAGTGAACAGTTCTGCCACCCTTTCGCCTCCCTCCTCCCAAAGTCAATCTCTCTCTCTCTTTCTCTCAACAAAGAGATCAGTTTCTTCTTCGAATACCTAGGGACTGCGGATTCGAAGGGTGTCGGCGCTCCAAGACTGCGCACGCGCTTGTGTGAACGCGCCCGGGTCTCGGGTGGTCTTTCTCGCGCGCAGTGCTGCAGTTTGTAAGTGTGTCACTCCCCTCCCCAGCAACGGGTAGGCTGGGACCTCTTGGCCTCTGTGAAGAATATGAGAATGTTCGTTGCACGGCGAGAGGAGAACCCACCCCTTGACTTGACAATAGATGAACCGAACCCTGAGAGGGGGAGCACCTGGCGTGTATTGCGGAACAAATCCTAAGCTTTTGAGAGCCCTTTGTTCTGCCGAGAGCCCCGCCCCGGGGACCCCACCTTCTTTCTGCCCTCAGAACAGTCCACTGCTGCACGGCTGGCCACACCCACTCCGTCCTGCGAGTGACTTTTGTTCCACAAAGTCAACCCGCAGAATGGAGGGGTCCTTGGTACCAGCCAGGGCGCTGTGGACTCTAGGAAAGGGTCCGGCAGGGTTGGAGGGGCTCAGAGATCGCTCCACCCCTGGATGCTGCTGCCGCAGGGAGAGAGAGCAAGAGGACCTAGAGGCTAGGGGACACAGACAAAGGGGAGAACAGGCCGAAGGTGGAGACAGGGCACAGGGCATCCTGCTGCTCTCGGGCGGCAGGTGTCCCGGGTCGTGATCACACACGACTTCCTTCTGTGACCACCTGTCCTCCTCAAGGCTCTAAGTGACAAGGCATCGGCGCCTGGGCAGCCGTTGGCCTCCAGGGTTGGGGAAAAGGGTAGTGGTCTCACCAGGGGCAGTTGGCTTGGGGAACTCTGGCTGGTGGCCGAGTAAGGAGCTGCAATCCAAGCTAGTAGAGCAGATTGCGCCACCTCAACCCTCCCACCACTCGGAGCACCTGACGGTTTTTCCACCTGCTTCAGTCCTTCCCACCTCCTCAAGCAGTGCCAGCTTTCCCCGAACCAGGCCTGCCGAGCTGTTTGCCCCGCCTCATCACCCTCCCCTTCCATACGCTTCCCCCCATTTCCCCGCACCCAGTCTTCCCCTCCCTTCCCCCACCCCAATTTTAGACAATGCGCACACCCCCAGCCTTCTCCCCGGAGCCCCCCTCTCCCCTCCCACCCCGGTCCGCACGCCCGCGATGATTGGCCGCGGGCCGGTGGTCCAGCCCCCTGGACGGTCCCTGGGGCTCGGAGCATTACGTCAGCCGGGCACCGAGAGCGCCAGCGCAAAGCGGACTGGGGGGACTGGGGCTGGGGGCGCGGCCTGCGCCGTCCGCCCCACCCTCCCTGCATAAAAGGCCGAGCCAGCCGGGACGGCCCTCTCAGCCCGTCGGTTCCGGAGCGCCTTTTTAGTGACCCCGCTGTAGGTGTGTGAGGGGAGTACGGACAGACCCACTAGACATCACCGGACCAGGAAGAAGCTAACTAGGCACCATGCGTGAGATCGTGCACATCCAGGCAGGCCAGTGCGGCAACCAGATCGGTGCCAAGGTGGGCGCGCCGCCGGGGAGTGGGTAGGACCCGGGTAGGAACCTGGGCCGAGCGCCCCTAGCGGTCTCGAGGCGTGGGTGTGGTCCTGGGGGCTTGCTGAATGCAGTCCTTCTTGGCAGCTTTGTGCCGCCTGGTGGGGCGTGGGCTCGGAGGCAAATTTCGGTACGCAGTACAGAGACCTCTCTTTCATTTTTGCAGTAACTCCTTTGGAGTCGGGGCCACCCCTCGGCCTCCCTTCCTGCTCGCTACCTAGGTAGGCACGCGTGCCTGGAGAAGACGAGGGTGTGTCCTCGAGGCCATAAGCGCCGGTCTACTCCAGCAGCCGACTCAATAATTGATTTTACTCGGCTTGAACTCGAGTCGCCTTGCGGGGAGAGGGGAGGCGAGGCGAGCAATTGTCTCGCGGTTGCAGGACGTGCTTTGAATCTAAATCCATGGTCCTTTAGCTCCCTAGCGTCCGGGTTTCCCTGCCCCGCCCAGCTGGCTGAAGTGCTAGCGCCCTCGCCCCCCACCGCTGCCCGGGGGTCAGGACCCAGTGAGCAAGGCTCATCCAACGCCCAGTTTTGGTAGATGTCTTTCTCCACAGCCCCCATGACCCCTACCTCCTACTGCGGGCAGCTGTTTGCCTGGGAAACGCCCAGTTTCAACTTTCTGACCGGGCAAAATACAAGCCCTGCGGCTGTGCCCGGGTCTTGCCGCTGAAATGCTCCTGAAATGCTGGGTTTCAGAACTGAGTCTCGGACTTGTCTTTTTGAGTCGCGGCGTCTCTAGGGGGTCATGCAGGACTAAATGTAGCCTTTTTCTGTCTCAGTTTTGGGAGGTCATCAGTGATGAACATGGTATCGATCCCACTGGCAGTTACCATGGAGATAGTGATTTGCAGCTGGAGAGAATCAATGTATACTACAATGAAGCCACTGGTAATTGCCCTTACCCCACCCCGCTCCCTTCGGTTTCTTACTGCCCCGGCCCTTCCCCTGAGACTGACCCCAGAGGTGTGGCTCCAAGGGAGGGTGGACTATAGAGTCCTGTATTTCAGAGGGCCCCATTTGGCAGCAGAGCCCTTTGAGGGCTTTGTGGTGGGTCCTCCTTTGTTTGAGGAAACATCAGTGCCTGACATAAGGAAGCTTGTCTCTAAAGAGCTTTCTGCCTGGAGTCTAAGTCAGCTGTCCTTCCCCCTGCAGGTAACAAATATGTTCCTCGAGCTATCCTGGTGGATCTGGAGCCGGGCACAATGGACTCCGTCAGGTCTGGACCATTTGGCCAGATCTTCAGGCCAGACAATTTTGTGTTTGGTGAGTGCCTGGCATAGCTGACAGCGTGAGTGGATTATTCTACACTAGGCAGCTCAGGTGGAGAGGTGGGACTGCACAAGGGTAAGGTAAACATCCAACTTAGCATTACTAAAGGCTAAAAAACATGCTTGTCTTTCAACTTCTAATAGCCAGGTGTCCTAGACGTTCTTATTTATAATTACATCCATGAGCAAATATTTTAACGTCTAGCCATTTTGGTGATAAACTGAAATAATCTTCTCTGACTCATTGATCTATATTATGGGGTTTGAGGTAAACAATTTAATACAATCATCAGTGACTTAAGAATTCTCTTTTCCCTCTGGCAGGCCAGAGTGGAGCAGGAAATAACTGGGCAAAGGGCCACTACACAGAGGGAGCCGAGCTGGTAGACTCCGTCCTGGACGTGGTCAGGAAGGAGTCAGAAAGCTGTGACTGTCTCCAGGGCTTCCAGCTGACACACTCGCTGGGGGGCGGCACGGGGTCCGGGATGGGCACTCTGCTCATCAGCAAGATCCGCGAGGAGTATCCAGACCGTATCATGAACACCTTCAGCGTCATGCCCTCGCCCAAGGTGTCAGACACAGTAGTCGAGCCCTACAATGCCACTCTCTCCGTCCACCAGCTGGTGGAAAACACAGATGAAACCTACTGCATTGACAACGAGGCCCTGTATGACATCTGCTTCCGCACCCTGAAGCTGACCACCCCCACATACGGGGACCTCAACCACCTGGTGTCGGCCACCATGAGTGGGGTCACGACCTGCCTGCGCTTCCCGGGCCAGCTGAACGCAGACCTGCGCAAACTGGCCGTGAACATGGTGCCCTTCCCCCGTCTGCACTTCTTCATGCCGGGCTTCGCGCCCCTGACCAGCCGGGGCAGCCAGCAGTACCGCGCCCTGACGGTGCCCGAGCTCACCCAGCAGATGTTCGACTCCAAGAACATGATGGCCGCCTGCGACCCCCGCCACGGCCGCTACCTGACGGTGGCTGCCATCTTCCGGGGCCGCATGTCCATGAAGGAGGTGGACGAGCAGATGCTCAACGTGCAGAACAAGAACAGCAGCTACTTCGTCGAGTGGATCCCCAACAACGTGAAGACGGCCGTGTGTGACATCCCGCCCCGCGGCCTCAAGATGTCGGCCACCTTCATCGGCAACAGCACGGCCATCCAGGAGCTGTTCAAGCGCATCTCGGAGCAGTTCACGGCCATGTTCCGGCGCAAGGCCTTCCTGCACTGGTACACGGGCGAGGGCATGGACGAGATGGAGTTCACTGAGGCCGAGAGCAACATGAATGACCTGGTGTCCGAGTACCAGCAGTACCAGGACGCGACCGCTGATGAACAGGGGGAGTTCGAGGAGGAGGAGGGCGAGGACGAGGCTTAAATTCACAAGATGGAGCAGGTTAGGGAAAGCTAAGAAGGAAAGCAAGGGGGTGGGGGGCTTACCGGTGAAAATATCTTGGCAGTTGAACGAAAGCAGCATGGTCTACTGTAGGTGTGTGCACTGGTACTCTGGTGCTCTTCACTGTTGCCTGTCACTTTTTTTTTCCCTCTTTTTGTAATATTGATGACATCGATGTAACATTTGAGATATTTCTGAGCTAATGTTGTAATGGCTAAAAATCACATAAACGTTTGTGTCGTAATAGTGTCTGTCCTCTTTTCTTTCTTTTCCTTTTTCTCTTTATTGAGTTCCTTATGACCAATTTAAATGTAACTTTCTGAACACTTTATATTCTTTTCAAAAGGGAAAGGATAGGTAACAGCTGAAATGACTTCACTCTTTGGATGTGGTAAAACTAAACAAACTACAGTCATATCCGATTTAAGGTGGGAGATGAATGTGAGTTTTAAAATGCCTTTACGTAAATATTTTATTAGCTGAAAGTCTTTCTGCTTTGAAGCGCATTGTGTTTTCATGTAGGAACCCTGCTATGGATTTCCTTTATAAAAATTTTAGTTACTACCCTCTCATAAAACAATTCTAAAGGAGAGTGGAGAGTTAGTGTTCCCTTCTTCCTGTGGTCCTTGATACAGTTTCCTCCCGGAAGGGAGACCATTCTTATCATGATTTTCTTATATCCCTAAAGAAATATTTCATATATTTTCAAAACTGTATAAATTATTCCCCTTTTTTCTTTCTTCACTCACATGGGGTCTGATACTAATACATTATTCTCCAACTTCCTTCCTTCTCTAAAACAGTGTATTTTGAAGATAAAGAGAGGTTCTCTCCTTTAAATGGATATTATACATAACATCTATTATGTACTTGTCCATATTTTATTTAGCTGATTCCCTACCAATGGGCACTGGTGCTTTTTTCTTACGGTGTAGTGCCACAGTGAATAATTTTGTGCATATATCATTGTGTACCAGGGAATAGCTAACCTATAAATTTCTATAAATGTAATTGTCTCTTAAAATGTCTATGCCTTGTTAAATTCATGAAATACCTTGTACTTAGGAACTGCCATAGATTTATAAATGGTTAATAGGCTCATTTTCAAGCTACTTTCCCCCCTAGCCATCGTGTTTATACTACATAACAAATTATTTATACTTAACTTCATGTAAGTTTATATGAAATTGTGAATCCTGGATTGTGGGTAATTTTTGAACAGGCAAGGCACAATAATATTCACAGTTTATTGCCTTTTTGCCTGTCGTGCCCAGCTGGGATTTGGGATTTGAGCCCATGTCTGACTATAGACTTAACTCATCCACTAAAGAAGCTATGGGATTTTAATAATCAATTTTCAGTTAAAATACTTCTATGGGATAAATTATAGTGTATCAAGATGGTGCTGACACTCTGCTTTAGTCTGGGCCAGTTTCTCATTTTGAGAAGAAGTAGATTGTAAATCATAAATAAATGTGTAAAACTTATTTACATATCCTTATGGAAAGAAAAATCAAGAAAACTAGATTTAAGATTTTTCTAGTTTTTAGACTAGAGAGGGAAGGCCTATTTCATTCTGCTTCATTCCTGTTACTTAAATATTGAAAAAAAGAAACAAATGAGTGTACATAAAGGATTTCCATTATTAGAGGGGCTGAAATATATTTGAAAATAGTTTCAAAGAAAAGCATGAGCAGTATAATTTTAAAAAGTATGAAAATAAGTTAATGCTACCACATGGCTCCCATAAATGGAAAAGAGCAGCAGTTCACTTTACAAGTATTATATATCACGAAAACTTGATGGGTAGGGTCAAACAGGTCAGGAGCCAGTGGCTTCAGCTCCAGTTTTCTATATTTAACTGGCAGGTGTGATTCCCACTGAGCTGGTGTAAAGCTTCCAACAGCCTAATTAAAGGGTGACTTTGGCTTTAAATGCCCAGAAGACTTGAGGCAGCTGCCAAGATCCCTGGATCTTTCCTTGGCCATGCGTTCTCTACAATCTGTCATTCATAAGATCAGTACCTTTGGAGAATAGTGGGATTGCATCCAAGCACCTCTTGGCATACTGGAAGCGTCCTACTTCTCTTCCACCTGGTGAGAAGGGCCTGTACCAGCAGGCCAGCCTGCTAGTCTGTCAGCACACCCATGTCTGCATTGCTAAAGCTTATTTTGGCATGATTAGGACAATGGGTGCCAAACTGACCAGTCAAGCACTTGCTCTGGGACCTAATATAAACTTTAAATGCATACTTAGAAAAAATAATTCAAAATGAGGGAAATACTCAGACTAAGGATTAGATTAAGATACTATTTTGGAACCATTGGTTTCCTTTGTTGTTACCTGATAGGATTTGGCGGTGGTGGTGGTACATGTCTGTTATGTTCTATTCCTCCTTGATGTTCCCTAAGAAGGATATTCACTTCTAAACAGGCACAGTAGCCAAATTATAAGACTCACTGGGGTGTGATGCAAGATTCAGAGGTAAGGGTTAGGGAGGGGATGTCGGAGCCTCCTTGAGGTTATCCTGAGAGTCTGAGAGGAAGCATTAACCCAGTGTGCTCTAAATTGACTTGCTTCTGTACATGAGACCCAGGGATGATCTAAGACTGTTATATTCCCCCATTTTATCACTAAAAGTGTGTCAATACCAATTTGAACTAAAAGTAACATTAAGAGATCATATCATTTACCCTCCTTATTGTGTAAGTAAAGAAACAGCATCTGAGACCTTTAAGAGCTAATTTTTCTCCACCCATTTTACAGAGACTTTTATCTAAGATTCCAGAACAGATTAGGTCTCAGGCCTAGGGCTTTTTTCTCTACGGCTGTGTCATTTAGGTGCCATTACATACAAAAATCACATAAGGATTATGAAAAAGGGAAAGACGAATTTCCTGGCATCAAGGAAAACCCCAGCAGTGTACCTTGGTCCTGCTTTCAGGTCTTAACTTTCCTGATAGGTTGGGCACAGACACAGTGCCACATTTTTTCTATAATGGAGGGTCCTTGTTTGACAAGTACTGCTAATGTCTTGGTTCTAAAATACCACATTCATGGCTTGGCGCCTGTAGCTCAAGCACCTAAGGCGCCAGCCACATACACAGGAGCTGGCGGGTTCAAATGCAGCCGTGGGCTGCCAAACAACAATGACAGCCATAACCAAAAAATAGCCGGGTGTTGTGGTGGGCGCCTATAGTCCCAGCTATTTGGGACTGCCAAATAAGGCAAGAGGATTGCCTATGCCCAAGAGTTACGCCAGGGCACTTGCCAAATAAGGCAAGAGGCAAGAGGATTGCCTATGCCCAAGAGTTACGCCAGGACACTTGCCAAATAAGGCAAGAGGCAAGAGGATTGCCTATACCCAAGAGTTACGCCAGGGTACTACCCAGGGCAACAGCTTGAGACTCTATCTCAAAAAAAAAACAAATACCACATTCACAATGCTTGAATGCAAATGTGGTTGCAAGAGGAACATTCTGCTGGGGATAGTTACAGTGAAAAAGAGTAGGAAGTTACTGGAGACCACTTGTACACATCCATTTTAGTTAAGATGTGACTGATATGCTAGATAAAGCTGCTGGACAAACTCTTGTATGTCTGATTTCTTTCTGGTGTGGAAGAGAGGTCCTACTGTGAAGTTACCCTTTTCTAAATACACCTTGGAGTTGAGGCATTCACTTGAAAACAGTCTCACTAGTACATTTGTTTCTTTGCCTCCTGGCTTCCCACTTAAAAGAGGATAGGTCAGTGGGTTTTAGCATATACACTAAAGAGCTATACGACCATTATTACTACCTAATTACAGAACATTTTCTTTTTCCTTTTTCTTTCCTTTCCTTTTTTTTTTTTTTTTTTTTTTTTTTTTTT